GGCGGATGTTCTAAGTAGGAGATCAGACTACTTTGGAGCCGTAGTACATTATCTGGATATAGGGAGAAACCTGCAGGAGAAAGTGAAACAAGAGTATACGCAGGACCCTATCTATAGCGACCTCCTAAAGAGAGTTAAAGAGACCCCAGAGACCGAACCAGATTATCACACTACAGACGGGTTGCTGTTTGAGAAGACTAATGTGTTTGACCGCCTGTGCGTTCCCAACAGCGAAGAGATTCGTAGTCTAATTCTAGGGGAATGTCACGATACWRAGGGAYACTTCGGTTGGYAAAAGACGTTAGCCAATCTGATGCGTGCGTACACATGGCCAGGGATGAAGAACGACTGCATAGAGTATGTCCGCAGTTGTAAAGTGTGCCAGAGGAATAAATTTACTACACGCGCGCCCCTAGGTCTTCTCAGACCCTTGCCTATTCCGGATCAGCCGGGAGACTCGGTATCCATAGACTTCATGGACACGCAAGTCAAGAACAGACATGGTAAGAGCCAAGTCATGGTCATAGTCGACCGTTTTAGTAAGTATGCAGTTTTTGTTCCCTTGCCTGCAGAGGCATGTATAGATTTAGTAATACAGAAGTTCTTTGACTTTTGGGTTAGTGAGAATGGAATCCCATTGTCAATAGTTAGTGATAGGGACAGTCGTTTCACCAGCCAGAACTGGCAAGAACTAATGAGAGTCTACGGATCTAAGTTGTTAATGTCGTCCGGCCGTCACCCAGAGACTAACGGTCAAACAGAACAGATGAACAAGATCCTACAACAAGTTCTGCGCATGTACATCAGACCAGATCAGATTAACTGGGATGAGATGTTGCCTAAGGTAGCTAGTGCATACAACAACAGCGTGCATCTATCCACCTACCGCACCCCCAATGAGTTGCACAAGTCCTTCAGACCGCGCAGACCGTTCGAAGGACTGAACCRGGATCACATTCACAGATTACCACCCGGTACCAGGAAGTTTGCGATAGAGTACGAAAAAGAATTAGCCACTGTTGTTGAGAACCTTTGGAAGGCCCAGCACAAAATGATAGAGCAGGCTAACAAGCACCGTCGCCCATCACAGTTTCAAATAGGCGACTTAGTCTGGGTCAAGGCAAAAGATTTTGCACCGGAAGAAAACATCTCGCAGAAATTACTGCCTGCATATAGAGGACCGTGGCCGGTTCTAGAAGTCAAGGGCGGAGAGGATGGACCGTCCTATAGCATTGAGATTCCAGCACACCTCAACACATACCCTGTGTTCCATGCTTCAAAGCTGCTGCCGTGTGTCACTAGTCAACAGTTCCCTTCCAGGAGATCCATGATCCCACCGGATATGGATGGGAGCTAT